ATCCTATATTGGATAAGGCTGCAGCAGTTCCTGAGATTGATGCCCAGGTGGTGCTAAGGCCAAGAATGCCTTTTTCCAGCTGTGTCTTATATACTAGCTGTATCTTTTCCTGGGACAGCCAGATCTCTAGTCACTTCAGGGTTAAATTACTATAATATGTTTTATATAATGGGCTGCCCTTGGTGCCAATTTGGAAAATTCAGTTGATTCAGAATATGGTTGCCTACATGGCACATCTTATCTCACAAAAAACTTTTATCTTCTCTTGCTAAAATTTGCTTCCAGGTCCAGTTTGAAGCAATGTTTTTTTTATTTTTAAAGTCTTATATAATCTGGAACCAGAGTTACTCTCCTTCTCCAGGAGCTCTGTTGCACTTTAGAGGCCTTTCTCCAGGTATCTCTGGTTCATCACAGGTGGCAAGTGGGTATCATAGATGGGGCCTCATCCACTGTGGCACTAAGAATTCTGAAGGGCCTCCCTAAAAAGGCATGTCTCTCTAAATTTGTATTTCTGAAGGATGTTTAGAATGTTTAAGGATGAGCAGCAGTTTACAATGGTTACTGCTGCTGGTTTTGTTCTTAGGGCTCTGTTTTACTATTCTAACATTTATAGGTTGCCATCTGTATATTTTAGAAAGGTGGGATAAAAAGCCAATAAAATATATAAATAAAATGAATTTGGTAATGTCGGAATCGTGCCACAAGATGTCACTCAAACAGCTGTGGTATAAAGTGATGGCAGAAAGTGTGCTTTGAAGCTTGAAATATTTTATACACATTGTGAATATGTTTTGAAAATGTACACACTGGGGCATATCCCAAGGGTGAGGGATGGCATTAATTATATTTTAGAAGTTTAGAATCTTGCTTTGTTTAATCTGTGTAGCATTGCTGCAAGCTATCAAGACTTTGGCAGAATGCTATTTTTATTGCATAAATAAAATGTCAGACCTTATTTGGGGTGTGGGGAAATAATTTTAGTGCAGTAAGTGTAAAAGATGTAAATAACACTGTGATTATCCAGGTCTGTTAGTGAAGAGTCCCTGTGCTGGTTGTGACATTCTTTTGACATGCCTAACATTTAGAAAATAGTTCAATGTTCATTGAAATTACCGTATTTTTCGCTCCATAGGGCGCACCTGACCATAGGGCGCACCTAGTTTTTAGAGGAGGAAAATACGGAAAAAATATTCTGAATCAAATGTTGCACTAAACTATTTAAAGCAGCAAAGCGGGTGGCTCCTGTCTGCTTTGCTGCTTTAAATCGAGCCTCAGAGGAGGGTAGGAAGGGGAACCATGGCTTATCTAAGTCCAGTTAATAATGCTGAGCCTGACTTATGGCCATTGAGATTAGCCTGGCCGTCTCAGTGGAAATCTGGGGAGGCTGGGGTGGACTTTCAGTGGTCAAAGTGTGGTTGTGTCTTCCTGCCCGGCATCTATTTCCTGCCGTCTTTCCCCCTGCACCCCCGCACCCTGCTTCGAGGGAAGGAAGCGGAGCCATGGATCCTCTGCTCGCAACTGCAGTGGATTCCCTCCACTTTGAAGCAGGAAAGTGGGAGAGGAGCTGCTTACATGAGTGTAAGCTGCTCCCCTCCCATTTTGCTGCTTCAAAGGGAGCCCAGGAGGAGGGAATCCGCTGCAGCCGCAAGCAGTGGAGGGTTCATGGTCCCTTTCCTTCCCTCCTCCATGATTGCTTTGAAGCAGGAAAGTAAGAGAGGAGCTGCTTACACAAGTGTAAGCTGCTCCCCTCCCACTTTGCTGCTTCAGAGGGAGCCCGGGAGGAGGGAATCTGCTGCATTTGCCAGCAGAGGATGCATGGTCCCCTTCCTTCCCTCCTCCGTAGTTGCTTTGAAGCAGGAAAGTGGGAGAGGAGCTGCTTACACGAGTGTAAGCTGCTCCCCTCCCACTATCCTGCTTCAAAGCAATCACGGAGGAGGGAATCTGCTGCATTTGCCCGCAGAGGATGCATGGTCCGCTTCCTTCCCTCCTCCGTAGTTGCTTTGAAGGAGGAAAGTGGGAGAGGAGCTGCTTACACCGAGTGTAAGCTGCTCCCCTCCCACATTGCCTCTTCAAAGGGAGCCCGGGAGGAGGGAATCTGCTGCAGCTTCCCCCACCTCCCGCAGAAGCCGCACACTCTTTAAAGGGGCTGTGCGGCTTCTCCTGGCTTTTCTGGGAGGTGGGGGGATTCCCCCACCTCGTAGAAAAGCCTGCAGGAGCCGCACAGCCTTTAAAGAGGGCGCCGCTCTTGGGGGCTTTTCCCCCTAGGAGGGAGAAGGGACTGATGCGGCCAGTCAGTCCCTTCTCCCTCCTGGAGAAAAGCCCGCAAGAGCGTACGAAGCTTGTGTGCGGCTCTTGAGGGCTTTTCCCGCCTGCCTCCCCCCTGCATTCGCTCCATAGGACGCACACACATTTTCCCTTGCTTTTTAGGAGGGAAAAAGTGCGTCCTATGGTGCGAAAAATACGGTAATTGTTTCTGTGCTGACTTGGCCTTGCTAGCTAGGCTCTGGCCTTGCTAGCTAGGGGTGATGGGAGTTGTAGTTCAACAACATCTGGGGACCCACAGGTTGAGAAAGGCTGCCCTAGACGGTCTAGAACAGGGGTCCCTCAGACCTTGTGGGGGGCCAGACTATATTTTGAAAAATAATAATAATGAACAAATTCCTATGCCCCACGAATAACCGAGAGATGTGTTTTAAATAAAAGGACACATTCTACTCATGTAAAAACACGCTGATCCGTGGGCCAGATTTAGAAGGCAATTGGCCCACATCCTGCCCCTGGGCCTTAGTTTGCCTACCCAAGGTCTAGAAGGATGTTGGCTTCCAATCCAGTGTAAATTAGGTCTTCAACTATGAAGAGAACCTGAAATCTAATTTTCGTTTAGTTTGGCCCTTTGTCAGAAAGGTAATATTTATAAAGAGGCTTCGGAAACAAGGCCAAAATCATATAATTTTGCATTGATTTTTAGAATTCAGCATAGACATTATGAGGGATCTGTTGCATGTGATTTCATTTTTACAGCTATATAAAATTCCTGGTATGTTCCATAATTCTTGTTAAGCTAAAGCAAGCAGGCAATATAATAAGATTGTTTGTTGAAGTTGGCTGGTAAGATGTATTTCTGTAAAAGGAAATGACCTTTTATACAGTAGGCATTTTCTTCAAGTGAAGGGAGTGGGTATCCTGTTACCTCATAGGTTTTTTCAAACCACACTGCAGTCTTGATCCTGATAAGGTCTGGTTACCAGTGCACTTAATTCTTTTTCCTGAGTTAGAAGAAGTGGAGCAAGACTCTTCATTGGCTAAAATGAGTAGTTCTAGTTGCAATATTAGATTTATTCTTGAAAAAGCAGCATCCCTAGAAGTTACCTTAAAACCAGATCCTAGTATAGAAGAGAGTGGGATTACTAGTACTTTTGAGCCATGTGAGGAAAACCTTGTTTTGTAAGTATTGGTAAACTTGCTGTTGCTCACCTGTCTTTTGTGATCTACTTTTCATACAGTGCAGAATGACTAATAATCAATATTATACTGTGAATGTTATATTTTAACTATCTGAGCCGTAACAATGTATTGTTATTGTGCACTAAAAAATAACTCCTTCTTATTTAATTGAGCACGTCGCCAAGAGGCTTAGATCAGCACTGAAGTGCTGTTTAGTACAAGCTAAATTAATTCCTTTATTTTTAGGCGAGAGTTTGTTTGAAGTAGCAATTCATGTTCTGTTGTTCTAAATCTCTTACAGAATTTTTTTTAATGCTTTTTAAGGATAACATAGAAAATGCCACAATTTTTAATGAAGTGATAATTCCTGCATTTTTCGTACTTATCTCATTGATGATGATACGCAGAGGCGAAATCAGCTCAATCATAAATGTAATAGCAAACTGGCCTCCTAAGTGTGTGTAGCCAGAATCCTAAAATATCTGACACCTTGAACAAGTTGCAGGAAATATATTTGAGCTTTTCATATAGCAGTCCCACATGGTAAACTTCATTTAAAAGTGAGACACTTCACAGAATGTTAAGGAAATTAGGGGATGAGGGAAGTTTTGTTTTGTTTTTAAACAAACTCATGCAAGTGTTTTGTCTCTAAGAGAAGAATTATGTACACATCTACTCAGGCCAGAAAGTGTATAAGATTTCAGCCTAAACTAAGTCTTTGGATTCCGGCCTAAATAAATGTACTACTATATGCCTTTAGAGGGACATGGCATTGTTTCCTCAGTGAAGAAGGGATTGGCAGTTTTAAAAAACCTCTTCCTGTCACCTTCTTCCCTCCCCAGTAGTATCTCTTTTTTTCTGTTAATGTGTGAGTGCAACAATGATTGTCTAAATGTTACATAGACTCGCATTAAAGGGTATTTTCAACTTATTTTATGTTACTAAAAAGAGAGAAGGCTTCCCACATACTATTTCTTATGAATTTCAGCTATCCCAGTGTGTACCTAGATGAAGAAGAAAAAAATTACCCACAGTTGCCACATTGAGACAATTCATTGTTCTTTCTTTCGCATTTTCTTTGGAAACATTGTAAAAATTAAGCCAGTCCGTGTCTTGAAACGTGCTGACTTGGAGTTAGGTCTCCACCACCAGTATATTCTTGTGTGTATTTTAAAGCCAAACTTTCATTGCCACATTTGGTAAAATCAGTAGCAATTACAATTCATAAAGTGTTTGATTGTTAGTATGAGATTTTCTATGAAATGATTCCAATAGCTTGACACCCCAAACAAAATGTTCCTCCCATACTGCTACTTAAATTGATCATCCTCAGCCTTCAGAACACGTTGTTTTTATTTATGCCTTCTCAGTCCCCTCCCCACCCTGATGGATATATTTATGCAACATTTTAATTTCCAGCATCCTCCCTCTTTAAAAAACAATTAGCAGCATTGTTGCAAAATTTGAAGTTCTGGGGCATGTTGGAACACTTTTTTGTATCCTCATTAGTAGGTTGTGATACAAATGACAACTCATTATTTCTCTTCCTTTTATAGAAATGAAGATTTGAAGCAAATGTTGGAAAGCAGCAAAGATTCTGCTAAGCTGGATGCTATGAAAAGGATTGTTGGGGTATGTTAGATTTTAATGTGCATATAATGTTGGCAGCTCTGAAAGTTGTATTTCTTCATGCATTGAATACACACGTGCACGCACACACAAATTTAAGTTTCTCAGAGTTAGTCTGAAACTAGTTTTTTTTTATAAAAAAAAAGCTATTGGCTTTACTATGTATTTTTTGTCCTTATTAGCATTACCGTATTTTTCGCTCTATAACACGCACCCGACCATAACACGCATGTAGTTTCTAGAGGAGGAAAATCCATAGGCATGCCACCCGTAGGCATTCCCTCCATAACACACACAGACATTTCCCCTTACTTTTTAGGAGGAAAAAAGTGAGTGTTATGGTGCAAAAAATACGGTAATTTATTCAGGAAAGGGACGCGAGTGGCGCTGTGGGTAAAACCTCAGTGCCTAGGACTTGCTGATCGTAACGTCGGCGGTTCGAATCCCCGCGGCGGGGTGAGCTCCCGTCGTTCGGTCCCAGCTCCTGCCCACCTAGCAGTTCGAAAGCACCCCTAAGTGCAAGTAGATAAATAGGTACCGCTTTATAGCGGGAAGGTAAACGGCGTTTCCGTGTGCGGCACTGGTGCTGGCTCGCCAGTTGCAGCTTCGTCACGCTGGCCACGTGACCTGGAAGTGTCTTCGGATGGCGCCGGCTCCCGGCCTCTTGAGCGAGATGAGCGCGCAACCCTAGAGTCGGTCCCGACTGGCCCGTACGGGCAGGGGTACCTTTACCTTTTATTCAGGAAAACAATGAACATGTGTTTTGTGCACCTTAGTAATAGCATATATACACACAACAGACTATGTTATTTTGAGAGCTAGACGCTTGTAGCTTCAGCACCTTGGATATGGACATAATATGTTTGAATGTTTCCATTTCAGTGGTTATTTGAAATCTCTCCCCTCCCCCACTTTTCTGGTTACTAAGGACAGGCTAGCATAGATCTAGTTCACAATCTGGAATCTAAAAGCTACTTGAGTATATCCAAGGTGATGTGCAACAAAACGTTACCACCACCTCTTCCACCACCCCTTCTGCTATATCAAACTCCTCTCAGAAGTCCAAAGTATTCTATGGCACGTGGACCTAGCTGAGGGGACCCTGGGATCAAGTGCTCACTGTTTTTCTACGGAAGAAGAGGATAGGGAGAGAATCAAAACACGTGGAACAGTGTTCGAAACTCATATATGCTAGGCGCCAAATGGCTCCTTAAACCAAGTTTACAGTCACCAAAACAGAATATCTAGTTGTCATTTTTGGGTAAGACAGCTCTAAAGTCTCTTTTTATGTGATGGACTGACTGTGATTATCAGTTAAACACCTGGCTAGTTCAGATGACAACCTTGAGTTAGGTTAAGAACTTTGAGAAATTAAAGAAGAAAAGTCATTTGATCCAGAGACAATCCACATATATATTGGCCTATTCCTACCTCTTCTTTTTTTATGCTGACTGGTCCTGCTGAGGCTGCACAGAAAAAGCATTTTGGTTCTTGAAATTCATTCAGATTGTAAAGATAAAATATAACTGATAGAATTCTAACACTGATGTGGAGGCAGAAAAATACACAACTATGACTAGGAATCCCTTCTGAACCTAGGTAAAACACTTTTCAGTTTAGTTAAGTGCTAATCATTGCAGGGGTTCCCCCGTCATAGTGTGGGTTCATGTTACAATAACTGTACATTACTCAGAAGTACCACTGGACTGTTAACAAGGGCCCCCATAAACTTCCAGACCTCTGGGAAAAGATTGTTTCCCTCTTTGCTTATTCACTTCTACACCATTTTTTAAGAATGTGGAATAAAATGATGGGATATTAAGTGGACTAGCATCTGGGAGACAAAGGTAAAACTCATTCATGAAATGCACTCTGTGACCTTGGGCCAGTCAGTCTAACCTACCCTCAAGGCTATTCCGGGGATAACATGGAGAAAAGGAGATCCATGAATACCACCTTGAGATCTTTGGAGGAAAGACAGATCTAAACATAATGCTGTTAAACACCAACAATAATAAAAAGACTGCCCTGCCTGCCTACCCCTAATTTTGAACAAGGGGGTGGGGAGAGAGAGAGAGATTTGAAATCATGAAAAAAACTTAAAGAGAAAAGCCTCTCGCATGTAACCAAGATATTCAGGGCTACAAACAATGAAAGTTTCATGCAGGTTGTCCACAAATCCAATATGTGGCTATTTGCTGTGACAGGATTGCCTGTGTGGGTAGTGCTGGCAGGGTGCAATCCATGCTCCCATACTGCATATGCGCTGTTACACATGGAGTTCTTAACTGAAACATCCCTGGCAGCAATCTCCTTTTTGCAATAGCATTTTTAGTTTGTCAAAGGGTTTTATATTATTTTGTTCTGTCAAAAAACTTAAGAAGTAGACCACAGTGCAATTTGAGTAAAGCAGCAAAAAGAACTGCACTAGCCCCTTCAAGACTAACACATTTATTAAGACATAACCTTTTGGGGGCTCAAGTCCATCATTCTTGCTAATCCATGAATGCTTATCCAGTAAGACATTTGCTAGCCTTTAAATTGCTACTGGACTGTAGTTTTATTTCTGCTGTGAGTCATGGCTAGCTGACTAACCCTTTGATTGACAGTGAAGCAAAGTAATGTACCCAATGAGCCTGTGGCAAAGAGGAGGAATTTTAAATTGGGCCTGCAGACCTTGTGGATTCTTGTCTCTCTCTCTCTCTCTCTCTCTCTCTCTTTAAAAAATGATACAAAGAAGCCTCTTGCCAATTGGCTTACCAAGACGGAAAAATGTGTAGGTAGTATTCTACCTGATCAAAGTATGATGCAGCCCACTAGTACACCCAATTCCTCACAAACCAAAGTTGCCTCTGACAGACTTGAGCACGGTAAGGCATGATTTGGAACTACCAGCCCCAGAAATAAATGACATGAATATGCATCATCCTCACCAGTGAGGAACTTCCGTTTGTATTTACTAAGATTAAATACAACATATATCCTTGGAATGGAGTACATTTTAAAGTCCACAATACTAACAGCATTTTGGTTCTGTAATTGGGACATGTAAATCTGCTTGGCTACTAGGCACTTTGTTTCTTTTGCCAGTTTACAGGTGCATGGGACCTCCTGGCCATAGTAATCTGGTTCTGGATTGTGATTGCTTTAAGTGGTACAGAGAGCTGATTAACTACTCTATTCTTCTTTTGGAAATACCATAAGTTTCAAAATAGAAAACTTGATTTAAACCAATAATTCAAATATTTCCCTTTTAAGGGTGTGTATCTGGTTGAAATCTCATTGATTTAAATCAGTCCACCCTGTCATACCCTGAAAGTAGATAATGAAGTGTGAGTTTATGTTGTAAAGAAGCCAATGGAGAGATGGTTTAATGTTATAGTGAGAGAATAGTACCCAGATTTATAGTATGACGGAGCTAAAGCTTCAGACTCCAGCATAGATTCTACGCTAACACTATTACAGCTAGGCTGAGCAGTTGCATTGCTGTTGTAAAGGGTAATTTGTAAAGCACTGGTTACGATAGCCAGCATTTTACTGTGTTGTGAACTGCAACAGGTTAGCAAAGAAACTTTCCTGATCGCAAACTCTTAACCTCTCGTTCTATATAATATGCAATACCAAAGCTTTTAACATTCAGGCTATTTAAAGCTGCTAAACTGAAATGATATCTTGGTCTTTGAAAGACCCATTATGTTCTCTTGGGTTAATGAGCCATGAACAAAGGAGGATTTACACTGATCATTATGACTTAATGAGACAAAATACACTTTAAAAAGATCCTAAATACATATTTACATGGTACACTGCAGCTATTATGGTTGGTCAGTTAAATAATGCAAGATACATGTGAATTTCCATGATATATATTAAAGCTAGTGATATTCTAAATATACCATCACAACAAATTGTGTGTGTTTATAAATATGCCTGAAACTTTTTTCATATGTTGTGGTATTAAACTGCTCAGCCAAATTATCTGAGACCTGTTAGTGGGGAAAGCATTAATTCTGGAAATGGTGAAGTTAGGCTGCAATCCAGTAAACGTTTACCTAGAAGTAATTCTGAAATCAGTGGATTTTCTGAGTAAGCATTCTTAGGATTGTCCTAAGTTTCTATCTTAATTTAGCTAGGTATGTATCAGAGCAAAAATTCACAGGATATCCTGGCAGAGAGGCAGAGGATGACTAATAAAGTTGAATAGAAATGCCAAGAGTGTTCTGATTTGCCTTCCTTTTGTGTTTGTTACTTTCTTGCCCAATAAATACCAAAACTGCTTGTGTTTTGTAAATCTTTCAGACACTTTTCAGATTGTAAAAAAATAATAATAGTTGCATGGCTATCTAGTAGACAACTTGTGATATTTTAAAGGACACATTTAACTTCATTTAAAGATGAAGATGCTCTGAAGAATTTTAGAAGTGAAATATAGTAACTTAATTTAAGTCCATGATAGCATAATCATGGACTTTATTTGAAAATAGTGTGCTATAATTTTTCTGCATTGCAGAAATATAATTGTTATAATATAATTATTTATGCATTTCAGGGGGTTGAACTAGATAACCCTTGGGTCCCTTCCAATTCTATGATTCTATAATAAATGTTTTCTTTTGTGTTCCAAGATGATTGCCAGAGGGAAGAATGCATCTGAATTGTTTCCTTCCGTAGTGAAGAATGTAGCGAGTAAAAATATTGAGGTATGATAACAAAGCTTATACCCTTGCAATTTTATTCTTTTATAATGTAAATGTTTTCAATTCTACCCATGAAAGTGTTTTTTTATGAGAGTTCACTGTTAAAAATACTTGTAGATTTAACTGTATGCTGAAATAGAGGAAATCATGTACTGTATTCAGAATTTGTTTGGTTCATAGTAAAGTGGTGAAATACTTGTTAAGTGAACAGTGTGCTGGACAGATGCTGGACATGTACCATTGGATCCAAGAACGTTGAACAAAATAAAATTAACCTCTGGTGCTTTTCTACAATAACTAGCAAAAGACTGCATAATGTTAGAATACTTATATTTTATAGCAGGCCTCAAGTTTCTGCATGTTTCATTTCTTTACAGTGCTGTAGCAATAGAAATAAAACAACCTTTCTGTGGGCAAAAACTGCACTGTTTCAGTGCATTCTGAATGGCATTTTGACTGCTGGGAGGGGAGCTGGTTGTAACTTGAGGCTTGCCAAGTGACCTTTTGGATACTTGCCAATGATGCTGTGTACTCTGCCAACATAGAACCAGGGCATGGGTCATGCTTGTTCATTCGTTCTCTTCTGTGGGTGGTGTTCCAGCTTAGAATTCCCTTTAGAAACTGGAATCATACAGAGGGCATGTGACATGGGTGGGAAGGAATTTTTGCCCTCAAAACTAGTGAAAAACGTTTTGTTGTTCTAGTAAAATTCATTTTCATAAGAACATTCTGCCCTAGTCTTGTTATATGTGTCATGTCAAAAGATACAGAAAAGTGACCTAGAAAGCAATTGGTGGTGTAGAACAGAAATAATCAAAGGTTTAGTCAATAACTCATGAAGTTTGATATACTTGTATTGATAAACTAATTAAACAGATCCGCCTGTGTTCCTCAGCTCTAATATGGCACTGTTATTATTAGTTTTAAAGGGAGGAGTGCTGTAACATTGAATGAAGGTAAATGATAAAAGAATGGTCTAGGCACGAAATCAAAGTCCTCCTGCCTCTAGTCTCAGAGTGGTTTCAAGGAAAGTAGGCTTTCTCTGCACACCTGCAGTCATTCACTACAAAGGCCTCTTGTTGTCAATGTTGATTGCTGCTTCTTCATAGTAGAACAACAAATAATTTAGTGGCTCCTAACCTTCTGTGATTCATTATCTTGCTTTTTGGCAGAATGGGCAGAAAAATATTTCTTCATACAGTGATAATAATTATAGCACAGCTGTAGTTAAGGGGTTTTCAGAGTTTCCAATATAAACCTTTATGGTCAATATGTAACTCAGAACAATTTTTTCTGTGCTTAGTTAAACATACACAGACTTCGTTTAGAACTTAACTAAAGCCTAAGCAAGATCAAACTAACTGACTAATTTGTAATACTCATGAAACTAGAGCTTGGAAGCCTTTAATCTGTGAATCTGTTGTCCTAGGGAAGATACAATGACCATTCTTCATGACTGTGCCCCTTCAGAAATACACATTGCATAAAATAAGTTTGGAAGGCAAAATTCTTCCTGGACATCTGTTAGAGTGTATATTCTGAACTATATTAAATGATTCTGATTTGACTATCATGAACCTCAACAACTACAACAACAGAATGCAAGACCTGTGCTGCTTCACGTTCCCTCCCTTATTGTTCCTTTCAACCGCTTGTCTTTTGTGTCTATCTGCTTTAAGTTTATAACCACTTTTAACTATTAACTTTTATCCCTCTCCTCTTTAAGTCTTATGTGCTTTATTTTATTTGCATGTTTGTATCTTATGCTGGTCTGCTACCATAATAAAGTTTGTTTTTTACTATTATGAACTAATTTGTTTTTCAGATTAAAAAACTTGTATACGTATACCTGATGCGCTATGCAGAAGAGCAGCAGGACCTGGCATTGCTATCAATTAGCACCTTTCAGCGTGCTCTGAAAGTGAGTAAATGTCTAGTTAGCAGTGTTTTCCTGGGAAGTTGTCTGTCATTACAAAGGTACACATAATTTTTATTGGGGAAAGCTAGAACTAACTAGCTAAGGATAAGTAGAGGAATATTTAACATGTCCTAGAACCTTATGGTGATGATGCTGGCCTACTTGGTATGGCTACTGTTATTAAACAGAGACTCCAATTGGGGGATCAACTTTGCTTAGAAAATATTCTGGTTTTGCATATGAAGTATGCATTTGTTTAGTCATGTTAGTCACACACAAGCAGAAAGTTTGTGAATTTTGTAAAGACTGCTTTCCCTCATTCCTAATTTAAAAGATAATCAGTTAATGTAGCAGAGATGAAGTTCTTCAACTCTGATGTGTCATTTACATGCCTTTCCCAATAATGGGCTCAGAACCATGGGGATGTGGAAATGAGACCTTGCTACTGCAATGAGATGTTTTAGGTTTAAAAAGGTAGGATCGATAGCACATGTTTGACTGATTCTGTTCTGATTTGGGGGCAGCTTAGAAATTATGCAGTCAGTGCCTGAACATTTTTAAGCCATGCTTGGTATTGACATTCAAGCTAAGCAATCCTTAATTTTGATGTTTTATGCTACTTTGGCTGTTGCTTCTCTTTATTTTATCAGAATACTGTCTAAAAGCATACCAGATTTGCATCCACATTTTATAAAGATCCTGCCTTCATCGCTTGGTAACAGGCCTTTCTTGAAAAGGGCTTCATGCCCAGATGAGAAAAGGCAAATGTAAACATTGGCTGCTACAGACATGGCTGTCTCAGGCTTTAGAGCAGTTTTCCCCATAATTTGGGTTTGGATTGTGGGGTGAGCTCAGGTGCTTTTAACAACTTCGGTGGTGTTAAGAGTATGAAGAAATATTTCTTACATGTAGACTTGAGTACTGTACAGGCTTGAACTGTGTATATCAGTCCTGTGCAAACAGCAGGGAATCTAAAGAGAGGACAAAATGTTACGATATCTCCTAGATCAGTGTTTCCCAACCGGTGTTCCGCGGCACACTAGTGTGCCGCGAGATGTTGCCTGGTGTGCCGCTCCGGCGGCTCCTCTGCGGCGGCGGCTACAGCGGCAACCTCGGGCGGCTCCTGAGGCGGCGAAGGCGGCCCAGCGGCCGGAGGCGAAGACGGTTGCGGCTGCTCCCGACGCTCACCAGCGGCCTCCTCTTCCTCGCCGCTGCTGCTTCGCGGCTTCTCCTCCTCCGCCTCCTCCTTCTCCTCGCCGCCGCCTTTTTCGGGCTCCGGCTCCTTCTTCCCCTCAGGCTCCTCCGCGGAAGGCCCGTCCGGCAGCTCGGCCTCCGAGTCGCCGCTGCTGCTGCCGCTGCCGCCTCTTTCTCCTCCGCTACCGCCGCCGGGCTCTCCTCCTCCTCCGGGCCCCTCGTCCTGGGCGGGCAGAGCGGCGGGGGTCTCGGCGGCCGCCGGGGTCTCCTGCATGGGGGGCTACGCGGCCTTCCTGCTCGCCTCACACGCACGGCGCACGAACAGGCAAGGCGGCGCGCTGGGCCGAAAAGGGGGAGGGAGGGGGCACAGAGCGCGCAGGGGAGGCGCCCTCTCGCTGGGCCATGTGCGCGAGAGCGGACCCGGCGGCGAGTCTCGCGAGAGGGGCAGGGACCAACTCGGCAGACGAGAGGGGGAAGGAACGGATTCCAAAACCGGTGTCTTGCCGCGTTGTATATGTTAATTTCCTATGTTAATGGGCTAGGACAGGGTTTGCGATCGGTTAACGCCCAGTTATGCTTTCCCCCTAGGAATTAGGCGTTTCGGTCTTGAGGTATGCTCGCTTCACACCCCACCCCCCTCGAGGCCCCGCATTAAGCCCGCCCTTAGGTGGGGTAGGATGGACCGTCCCAGAGGGAGGGCGGAGGTGAAAGTAGTGTCGTGAATAGCGGTATCGTCATCGCGTCCTTTTACTTACGTTATTATTGTCGAAATATATATGTACCGCCCCCTATTTTAAATTCTAGCCTATATTAATCGTAAGCTGTCACTGTGGAGGAGATAGTAGCAAAGGGGAATCAAGCACCCCTTCAAAAATGACCGAAATGGGTCGAACTGGCGAGTCGTCATCCTGCCAGGCGCGTGAGCTGTACTAAGTCTCCCCACAAAAAGGGGAACGGTCTGAGCATGTCAAATAAAGTTTCGTGCGTCCCTCCCGGCGTGACGCTGCGCGCTGACGTCACGGGGCTGTAATGGTGGTGTGCCTCGAGATTTTTTTCATCAAACAAGTGTGCCTTTGCCCAAAAAAGGTTGGGAAACACTGTCCTAGATCCTTTAAGTACAGTAACAAGCAATTTAACTATCATCATAAAGCAAAATCAAGATTTTAAATTTAATTATGAGGTATCTCCCTGGGTTGACAAAGTAGCATTGTTGCAATACAGTATAACATCTGATATATCTCTTGCAGTTTTCCCTTTCTATGGACTACTTTGGCCTGGGCAAATGATTCTCTTAATCTTGGTGTTTTCATTTGGAAAATAGACAATGGTGACTTGCCTGCAGAATTATTGTTTACAATAGTAGCAATAAATGGAAGGCACTCTTTTGTACTGGAGACTATTTTGACTAAGTGTTGAATTATAACTAAGAACTTAAAATGACATTTTAAAAATAGTCTCCAGTACAAAAGAGCATATGCTTGAATTTATCTAATGACTATTGGTATTTTATTTTTATTTTAGGATCCTAATCAGTTAATCCGTGCAAGTGCTTTGAGAGTTCTATCCAGCATCAGAGTGCCAATTATTGTTCCGATTATGATGCTTGCTATCAAAGAAGCATCAACTGATTTATCACCCTACGTTAGAAAAAATGCCGCCCATGCAATCCAAAAGCTTTACAGGTATGTTCTCTAGCCATAAATATGGAAGATAGGTATTTAGTGCTCAGTAGAGTGTGTTATAATGAAGTTTAGCTACAGCTTTTGATAACTGCTTCCTGCTAATGGGCATAAAATGAGCAAGACAACTTTGACTAAAGGTTCTGAATTAACATAGTGAAGACCAGTCAGTGCTGTATATTTGCAGCACTTATCAAAGTTATTTCATTAGTCAGATTAACTCCTGCCATTAATTGTTTGATTTCATTTTGCATACATTTTTGTTGTATTTAAAATAATTTTTAGACTGCTTTCCATCAAAAAATCCTTAAAGCGTTTCACAACCGTAAATAGAAGATCCATGAAACAACCTAGTACAGCACCAAACACCGTTAAAACATAGTCTGTTGAGCAAAACAAAGAAATGAAGCCTACATTTTGACAGAATATTCTTAATAGAACTTTAAATATTTTATTTCCATGGGCAGGGTTGAAAGGATGGCGTGCAGGACTTCCAGCCCATTCATTAAGAAGTAGCTTGAATAAGCCTTGGTGAAATTCATAATTCCACTCTTAAAATGAGAGAATCTGAATTCTTTTTGTTCACTTTTTAGCCTTGATCCTGAGCAAAAAGAACTGTTAATTGAAGTGATAGAGAAACTTCTGAAAGACAAGAGCACTGTAAGTAATACAGATTCAGCTTCTTTGTAATGCAATCAAGACTCTTCTTTTCACCTGTAACTTTATGGTACTTTAAACTTTAATCTGAACAGGGTAGAATAACTAGACAGGCAGAAGACACAATTTGGCACTGTGGGTGGAGAAGCATGTTACCCCAGTGCCTTGCTTATTTCTTTCGGTTTATATTTCAGTCCTTTCTGAAAGGACTGAGGCCAAGAAGAGACATTTTAGGATCAATTCTTATGTAAATGAGCCCATAAAACCTCAGTCGTTAAGTTTCTTCCTTTCCCCCTGTGTAGCTGTTTGAGTGTGAATGCTGGAAACCAGTTCCAGAAGCAACAGCATCTTTTGAAATATGTTCACTCTAAATGTCCAGGTAGCTACTGAGAAGGCTACTGTATTCAGATTAGTTCCTTAGCAGATTTGGCCTTTATAGACCGCACATAACACCATGGTATGCAGTCTGGTATGGAGAGCATCTTCATTGTTAATCCGTGCCATGATTATAGACATGTGTTGAATCAGAAGAAAAATGTCATCCTCTTACAGTTTTAAGGAAAACACTCTGGCAACTGTTTCACTGTGATCCAAATTGTCATAAGAGTCCCTAGGATGATCCAAGGTTGAATGTTGGGAAAGTAACAAGTTGCCATTCTATGGACTTTGTTATATTTTGGCTCCCTGGAATCTTGAATAGAAACAAAATGGTTTTCTTTCATCCTTAGACACAAAATGTTAAAGTTGTGGAGTAAGGATGACAATCTCACCGCTATTTTATAGCAGATTCTTAGTTCACTGATGTTCAAAGGGCTTTTAAGGTCTCCAGCTGTGGGTGTAAATACAGCTTTCTTTTGAAGCAAATTGAGTGCCCATGTGCCCTGTGAAGGCTAGATAGGATTATCTGTAGCAGCTGACTCTTGGGAGGTCAAATAATTTGCTTGTTAAAAATGAGCTGAAGAATTGGTGATGGCTTTGTGATGAGATTACTGATGTGTTCTAAACTAGAATATTACCTTTGGGAAAATGGAACAAAGTAAGGTGCATTCTTTTAACATATTTAACAGATATATGCTAGAAGTAATGCCTGGCGTTCAGATTACAGATGTAAGGGTAACCTAGGATTTTCCAAAGTTATTGATTCAATGTTGATAAAAAGCTTTACTGCTGTGGTGGGGAAATAACTTGAGTTTGTGCAGATGCTGTATTGTGATAGATCTATTATCCAGCTATTAGAAGATAAATGACTGATCTTTACCAGCTTCCATGCTTCCAGAAAATTGAAATAAGAAGGGGAATATCATTTGGGCTGTATGATTAGGGCAGGTGGGATGGCCATTAATTTAAGAGAAGGAAATGTTGGCAGCATAGGCCAACTTGCACCATATTATCAATCAAACCTCGATACACTTCTTGTGATGACCCAGCACTCTCAGGTTTTTGCAACGTTAATTAGAATTCATGACAAAATAGATGCAAGGAAACATTTTGTACCCTTCATAATTTTATAGAAAATTTATTGTTATTAGAGGAACCATTTGCTTAGTGTGATTTTTTTCATTACCAGCTTGTCAACTAGCATAGATAATCTGGAGAAAATATGAACTCCATAGATTGGGTGTCACTTTTGTTGATGGTTCATGTAGTTTACCTTGGAGCGCAGCTAATGGCTGAAGTTCATAGCAACAGCACAGAAAAACGTGGCAACCAGTGAAAGACAAATGAACCATGTTTATTGCTTTAATATAAAAAATACATAAATGGAAAGCTGTATTTGAATTTGTTGAGCTCATTGGTAGTTTTGTAGGTATGATTTATTTTTTCTTGCACAAAAAAACTATTTAATTTTCATCTCAGTATGTCAGTGTCACTGTAAACTGTTTTTTGTTTTGTTTTTTTATGTTTTGATTGAATCATTTTGTTTTAATTCAATGTTTTATGGGATATTGAACATTTAATAAACTAAGATCATCAGCTGTTTCCCAAATATTTAGATAGGTCCCAGCATAGTGGAAATTTGCTTTGAGGTGTGCTGTTGTCTAAAAACATGTAGAATCAAGATCAATTCAAATTATAGCTTGAATTGGAAAGAACTTACTGTTAATCATTTATGTTTATCGCAGAACATGTTTGTAAATTCTGGCGTGGAGGGTGGAAGTGGAGTGTTATATGATGGAGTTGTTACAAATAAGTTAATATTCATATCTATCTTTTCATAAATACAATGAACTTTTAAAAGTGGATGCTGAAGATTCTTACTCCTTGTGAAAGACCTGTCATTCTAAATACACAAATTGATTTTGCCCCACCTCTGTGTTTACTGAATTTGCACACCCTCTTTCAAGGTGTAGAAAGAACAGTGCCTTAGTTTACTATTAGTAGTCTTGGAACTGTCAGTTTCTGCCTAACTGGTAATTAGCTAGCCAAAAGGCAACATTCTGAGCTTTCTGTGTGTAGCCTTAATTTTAGGGTAATATGAAATTTAAATTGAATATTGGCAATGAGGAGTACCTATTCTTCATTTCGCTCCCCTTAAAACTCTTGTGGAGAAGTAGCACCTGTAGCTACAATGATTACGATTTTTATGTTTAGCTAAAATTGCAGGTTTATAGGTTGTTTGTGGGATCTTGGTGTATGTATGTGTTTAGATAATGTAAATAGGGGGAATGGACAGAAAGAATTCTTTTTTATATATGCAACATTTAAGGTTTGTTAAGTGCAATATTTTTATTTTATATGAAAGCTTGCATGCTTTCATATGTAGTCAGGTAATCTTGATAATATTAATTAATGGCAGTGTTAACTAATGCAAATAGTTGTAAAAACTGTAGAAAGAAAAAGATTGTAAACGTCAACAATGAGACATTTTCCTCCTACAAGTGATGTGATATAGAAAATAAATGTAAGTATAATGCATTTTCTTTAGTCCTTTACAAATAATCAATTCCCTTCTTTATGGAATGAGTTGTATACATGCTGGGACCAGCAGGTACCAGTACATCGCAGGGCTGGAGACAATAAATGCAACGTCACGTTTATAGTTATTGGTAATTTGTGAAATCCCCACAGGACTTGGAACTTGTTTAGCATAATAGCAAGACTATATTCTGAGCTGTTTTCTTTCAGTTGTAATCGTAGGTGCATACTAATAAACCAAATGTCAACCAAAAAATAGGGGAAAACTCTAACAAGTGAATATCGTTGTATTTAATATTTTTCCAAAAGTGCCATTTCAATAAATTGTACTTCTATTTAATTGCTTACTTTAAATCATTGGGGAAATTTTAGAGGTTGAAATGCAGATCCCCAGTGCTCTGCTAGAAGGTGACATTAATTTTCTTACAGAAAGCGGCTTCACATGCATGCTTAACTGCATACATATCAGTTGCTTCATACAGAAGCCTGATCATAGGAGCTATTTTGCATAGCATGTGGTGGAAACAAAACAAAATTTTATTAAAGCAGTTGCTGGAGGGGTGGGAAGAGATAATAGGCAATACACAGTGACAAGTGGTTATGTCATATTTGCAACTGATAGCTGACAGGGCAATGAGATGCATTATTTTCAGTACTACTAGTATTTTTGCTAACTCTTGTACAAGCAACAATTGGTAGATAAAAAAATCAAAAGGTTCAAAATGGTTTTTTAAGGCTGTCTGAAATAAAGTGGCACACTGCTTATCATTCAGGAAGGTAATCTCATTAATCTTTGAACAATCTTAGGATGTAATATAATTTTGTGACAGAGGAACGTGAGAGTGTATGTGGCTAATATGTACCTTTTGTACTACATATTATTATAGGGGACATATAAAGTTTGAATTTGTTGTATATGTTTTAAGAGGATGGCACAGTAAATATTCATTTTTTGCCATCCGTGGCATATGATCTCTTGCTTCCTCTGGTATATATGGACAATACTGTAGTCTGCAAACACTAGTGTGGATATAAGTACTCATTTATGGCTGAACATTTAATAATTTTTTTATATGGACAAAGACTTATGGGTCCTTCAGTGATCCCACTCCAAAATTTGTTTTGATTTTAAGCATCACTGTGAGAGTCTGAGGTAGATAACACTTTTAACATGCACTACTCAAACCATCATAACTAACTGGCTAGTATATTTCAAATTTAAAAGCACATCATGCATTAAAAGTACATTAAACAAGGCAACTGAAACCTAAACAAAACATGTTGGGTTTAAAGGAAATGAAAAGAAAGTTTTCAGGTACCCAATCCATGCACGTTTTACTTGGGAGGAAGCCCCATTGAACTTGGTTGGGATTTACCTCTGAGTAACAGTGGCGATTTTAATCTGAAATCTTAGGCATAGTACAGTGCCCAGAGCTCAAAAACAGCTTGCATTTATGAAATTCCCTGTCGCAAAATGCGCCTAGAGCAATGGGAGTTTCAAACACTGTGTGAAAGAATTGAAGAATGAAGAGCCCTCAAATATTCCATAGTACCTTCCTACAATGTATTTTACTCCTGGTACTATGTGTTGTCTTCAAGTTTCATATTCAGTGCTGTTATTTAGAAGCGATATTAACAAGTGGACACCCCTATACCTACTACATCCATCAACTGAACTACACCTTATCTAACTGAACAAGATAGCTGATGGGCTTGCTCTTAAGCTCATATTCATATTAAAGCTACAGTAACATATATCATCATGAGCTGTGTGTGCCAAGGGGGCTGTACAATGAGAGAGTGAATAAGGCATGGAAATGGGAGTGATCTGTGTGCAAGGGAGAGTTGAAGAAGTAAGGAGAAGGTTGGAGAGGAAAAGGAGGTGAAAGTGAAAATGGGGGGTGCAAAGGGAGTTCCAAAAAAGGAGGGAATGGGGTTAAAGATGAAAGCAGGGGCATGAACGGGTCTGAAGAAAAGGAGGGGGAGACGGCTCCATAATTGGGAGGAGGAAGATGCAAGGGGTTACCATGGGGTTGGTTTGCATGTAATGGGGTTGCACAAAAGAAAGAAGGAGGAGATATGGAAATGGGGATGAAGGTGAAAAGAGGTGCAAAGCAGGACTGCAGAATAGAAGAGAGAAGTAGCTTCAGAAATAGGGTTCAGAATCTTAAAAGCAAACTTAGTAGTTACATGAGGTGCGAAGGAGAAGTTCTAGGGGGTTAATATGGGAGGAATGGCAGCGGGGTTGGTGAGCAGAGCGAGCAGGGGCATAGACCCAGTTATATGTATATAATCTTAAATGAATAAATCACACATCTGCCTGAAGAGTGGTCCTCTATGGCTGAGTTCTTCTGGATTGACAAGTGCTCTTCCCACCTTTAAGTGCTTTTTGCCAATGAATAAAGTCATATCAATGACGGACAATTAAGAAAGCAGATGTAGCCAATTAGATAAAGTGGCACATCCACTGTCTGGAGAGCATTTCCACAAGATAGGAAATAGATGAAATAAAGGCCATATAGCAGCTGCATTTCTCACAAACTTGCTGAGTAGTCTTAACCTACACGCCCTTTCCTACAGCTTGTCGTTCAAACTTACTGTAAGTCCATTGGCGTTACTGATTCTTATATGCTTGATTCTTGTTCTCTAGCTTGTAGCAGGAAGTGTTGTGATGGCATTTGAAGAAGTCTGTCCAGACAGAATAGATCTGATTCACAAGAACTACAGAAAACTCTGTAATCTGTTGGTGGATGTGGAGGAATGGGGACAAGTTGTCATCATCCACATGCTGACTCGATATGCACGCATGCAGTTTGTCAGCCCTTGGAAAGAGGTAAGTAACTTTTAAAAAGTTACTTTGAATACTTCTAGCTTGTTCGGAGCAGGCTTAGTAACAAACACTTTCAGGAATGTACATCAATAGCTCTCAGATGGCCAGTACAACTGATCCAACAGTTTGCTTATTAGCATTGTTAATGATTTGTAATGCATCAAGACCATCAGACCATGAGTATCAAAATGAATAAACATCATTATTTTGTAGATTTCTGAAAGAAAGCATTTTTGTGGGGAATGAACAGTCAACTCCTCTCCACATCAGCTAGTATGGGCTTGATTGGATCTTCTAAATGAAGTCTTAGTCATTGTATTTCTGGAAATACACTTGCAATACCACACTTTCTGACACTTTACAGTCAGGCAGATAGATTGATCTTGAAGATTAGTGCAGTCTTGTAACTTGGCTCACAAAAGTTACTACCTTGCAGAAAAAAAGTAGAAAAAAGCCCATTATATCAAGCAGGTTTGCTGGAGAAGGACAGATCTATCTCTGTTTTGTACTAGTTGTGGACAAACAGATCCTTCTTTCCTCATGCTTAGCACAGTAACAAAGTGGGTTGGTAGAGAAGGAATGAAATGATCTTCTCCTTTTCTGCCAGCCCACTCATCTGCATGGAATTCTTGGTCACCTATTACTACCAGGCGATTTGTTAAATACAAGGCTTACTTAATGGATTATTGATCATATTGGATTGTTTGTCAGATTGAGTTGTACTGGCTTCCTGCATTTTAAAACTGGTGAGAGCATTTTCAGATATGAAATGATTTACCATCATTCTATTACTGCTCTCATCCCGTCGTAAACTTGTATTTCCTACACTTATACAGTGGTACCTCGGGTTACATATGCTTCAGGTTACAGACTCCACTAACCCAGAAATAGTACCTCAGGTTAAGAACTTTGCTTCAGGATGAGAACAGAAATCGTGCGGTGGTGGCGTGGCAGCAGTGGGAGGCCCCATTAGGTAAAGTAGTGCTTCAGGTTAAGAACGGACCTACAGAATGAATTAGGTACTTAACCCGAGGTACCACTGTATGTTAAATTCCATCCTCTAGTAATACTTGTAGTACTACAAGATAATGTTATGTGTGTTACTGTTTTTTGTATTCGCATGTGTAGTATTTTATCTTCTGCATATATTGTTTGAAAGGCTTCTTCTAAGCATCACATGTCCTAGCCTACATGTTGTGTGCAGATACTTGGATTGGGTTTTTCCATTGCTTTATCCCAAAGGTTGACAGGAGGTTATACAGTGTTTTAGGAATGTAATTGTATGCTGTGCAACACCATGATATTTTTTCCCTTAACGTTGGCAGAATAGAACTTTTGCGCATGCACGCGCGCGCACACAATGTAAGGTGTAGTCATCATCTGCCATATTGGTGGCCACACCAGTAGGCAGGCCCAGGGAGAGGGGAGGCAATGTGCACTGCTGTCCCCTCTGTTAAACACATCTGGAGCAAGGCATAATGGAGCAGGGGAGGCTCTTCACACAGCAGTTTAGCAAGCCACTCTGTGAAGCACCTCCCTCAAATTTTTAAAAGGAGAGTTGGTGAGCATGAGGGAGGCATAAAGGGAGTGTGTTTGGCCATGTGGGGGGAAAGGGCTGTTGGCAAGGAGGTAGGTGGGGTTGGTGGGTGGAGCAAGCAGTGGTGGCAGCCCCTAGTGTGTATATGATTCAATGGATGATGGATTAATGCTTAGCTTTTTGACTTGTTTCATATAGGCAAGAATAAAGGACACTTTTATCAGATTCGGTTTGTGCATTCATACTGTAATATTTCCTCATAATTTCCCTCGATCATTCTGGGTACTCTTTTCTGAACCTTTTCTAGTTCTACAATATTCTTTTTTAGGTGCCGCAGCAGAAGTATGTGTATGTGTACCATACTATTAAAAGATTTCCATAGATTAGTATAATGTTATGCTATTGACAGTTTTATTTTCAATCCCTTTTCTGATGAGTCCTAAAATAAAAAATTTTCACAGCTGTTGCACACTTTACATCTGTTGACATTTTTATTGCGATATTTACCACAAATATCTTTTCTGGTCACTCATTGCCAGTTTAGAGCCCATTAGAGTACAGTGGTACCTCTGGTTACTTACTTAATTCGTTCCAGAAGTCCGTTCTTAACCTGAAACTGTTCTTAACCTGAAGCACCACTTTAGCTAATGGGGCCTCCCGCTGCTGCCGCCACCTGATTTCTGTTCTCATCCTAAAGCAAAGTTCTTAACCCGAGGTACTATTTCTAGGTTAGCGGAGTCTGTAACCCAAAGCGTATGTAACCCGAGGTACCACTGTATATAAGTTTCAGCCAGCATATACAAGCCATTTTCTGGAGACTATATCAGCGTCTCAGTGGGATCAATTAATGCTATACACCCATCTTCATTTTGGGGATGTCCTTGAAGAATGGGTTATCCAGTTATGGAAGTTGTAGCTTCCTTTGCTGACTCGAAGGCTGTGTGTGGCTGTATTCATGATAAACAGGTTCAGCAGCGATGAGATTGGTGCAATCCTGAAGTCTTTCTTCCCATTTGTCATTCCCATTCCTATGTACATAGTATTTTTTCCACAAAATTATGATATGTAGTGCAAATAGCTTCATGACCTGGATTAATCAAAGTCAGTCTAGTCAGAACAGAAAAGACAATGCTGCTTCCAGTTACATGTGAAACAAGATCTTTTTGCTGTTTAACCTGCACACTAACATTCCTGTTCATATCCAGATGTCTTTTTCTTTTCTTCTTTAGTGTACTTCTATTAACATACTCTGTAAAGGAATATTATTGTGCTTGAGGGAGATGAATAGCATTCATTCAATGATTCAGTCACCTTGCTGCATTCTGGAATTTTTTTATCTGTTTTTATTTGATAACTTCGAAGCAAATAATTCAGTAGATTAGATTTTCATAACGTTTGTTGCTGCCATCAGCATTGCCCATCACTGGTTACTGATAAGAGGATTCCATCTCTTGGATTCGATAGGACTTGCAGTGAAAGAAAATAATTTATGTTTGTTGTTTCATGAACTCCTTTCTGTTGTGAAGGAGTTTTAGAAGAATTGCCACAACAGCATTTCATATCTTACCCCAAACCTTCATAATAGTTGCAACAAATGAAGTTGTATTTTTGTTGTTATTGGAAAATTTATTGTAGTTATCTCGCTTTTCATTCAGATCCTTGTTTCTTTCTGTACCATTCTTGTGAGCATGGGCACATTTTTAGCTTTTGCTGCCACAAGGATGACAAGGTATTGCAGTCTTTAAGAACAGGCAATATCACTAGCTGCTCACTCATAAATGCTGCCTGATAGAGGCCCAGCACAACTGCAGTGTGTCCAAACTCATAAATGTTGTTAAGAAACTGCAAGTGGTTTACATGCTGCTTCTCCTTTAGTGTTGTATTCATTACCACTGCACTGGTGGTAGCCCAGATTAGTACCAGTCCATATGTAATACTACAGCACATTTAAAATTGACAAAGAAAGAGGATTGTGTTTGTAAACCTGGGAGCCACTCTGTCTCTTAACCATGATTAAGAGATTGGCAGTATTATGTCTGCACAGGGCAAGAAAGTTCAGAAGCCAGATTGGTTTCTTGCTAATTTAATTGCTAAAATAGAAGGAGAACCTCTTTGAAATCAGCAGGTCTCCATGCTTTTTTCAATAGGTTCTTAAATAAACACATAACAAGGTTTCTTGTGTAGTAGAACAGATTTTTAATTTAGTTTATTTGCATCATTATAGATCAGTATTTAGACTGTTTATATGTAAATGTATGATTTGAGGAACAATTAACTGTTGACAAAGTATATTGCAGTCATATCAATTGCAGTGCATTTTCCATAATTTTTCTAACTGACATCTTTGATAAATAGTGGTTGCCAAGTCAAAACCGATTATACAGTGCACTAGGAATTCATGGTGCTGTCAGGGAGAAGACCGATTGACTTTAAATTTACATATTAATGAGAAGATTTGTTAAGGGGGTGCTTGACTATAGAAAATAACAGCATATTTATAGGGCACGACATTTTATAAATAAAGCTGATGCAGGAAAATGGAAATTAAACCTTTCAAATTAATACATTCAAGAATGTTAAAATGCATATTTGCATTTTTATTTTATGAATTTACCTTCTTTTTCAGAGCAGTATATTTCCTCCTCCCCAAGTTAAATGTTCTGCTCTTGCAGGATTAGTAATTTTGAATTATTTTGTGTGCCTCAACAGGTAAAGGGACCCACCAATAAACATAGAGGAAGATCATAGTTTACGGTGTATTAATTTTGGTACAAGCCCTATTATCTTCATTCTTATAAAAGAATAAAGATTCATATCCCTATTAGGATTTTGTGATAGTACAGTAGTGCTAGTCATACTGATATAAGACTTAAAATATTTAGTGTGTAAACACTCTAGCTATTATTTCATATAAATGAGTATTTTGAAAGCATGTCTTTCAAGTTCACCAATTCATTAGCTGTTGATTTTAAAATGTGCGTTCCAAGCTTAATTACACAGAATCATTAGCGGTTGGTATAATTGTTGGGATAAGAATTCAGATCTTGCCTGGCAACTTTGCCTTCAGTGGGTAACAAAAAAGGTGATAAACTAACTACATCTAGCACTGTGCGTTAAATTTTACTCATGAATTCAGTCATTGCAGTGATTATACAGACCTCTGGCCCACTGCTGAGTATCTCCCGAGTGAAGATACAGCTGTTAAAATCACAAGTGCCCTGTTTTCCCTCATAACAGTCCTAAACTCTGAGGTTGCTGTCCTGTACCCATTTACCTGGCAGAAAGCCCCATTAAGCACAAAGAGACTTCTGAAGTAGACATGTATATCATTGGACTGTAAGTTAACAATACAGTGAATTCTTAATGAGTGCCTGGCTTTGGATGCTGCACAGCAGAAAACATGCCTAAGCATTTTTGCAAAGTTTTCACCTTTTGCATTTACCATTTGTGAAGGGGATTCTTTAACTTCCACCTGCACTTATTGTATAGTAGTATTTTCAGAAAATACCTTCTGGGATCCAGAACCCCCAGGTCAGCTAAGTGCAGTGGTGGGGTGGCAATTGGAAGAGCTGGGCGAGCTGGAGCTGCTTGTTGCTGCTGCCAGTGCTGGGCCTGGTGGCAGGCTGGGCCTGACTCTGCAAGGTGCAGGGTGCAATTCACCCCAGCGCCTAGCAGATTACAGCCTTCGGATGTTGTCAAGGGGTACAGGGCCCAGCAGCAGCAATGGCACGGGGTGAAATCCACCCCAGCACCTAGCCGAATGGGGTCATCTGGTGCTGCAAACTTGCTAACTTGTAAATAACTACTCAGACGAAACCTGCACTGAGTTCAGTGGGCCTTACTCCCAGGTAAAGGTGTGTGTTTTATCTAGGCAGCCAGGGCTCCTCCAGATGACAGTATCTTTTTGCACCAAGTCAGTGAGCACCACTTGTTTTTAAAATTGTCCCATATATACAGAACTTACAGACTGTATCTGTAGGTTCCCCTTCTGGGTCGAATAACTGGGGTCAAATAAATGTTGTTTACTTTTTATAATACTGTACATTATATTGATAAGATTGATCTCCCTAGGAAGGTTCTGGACTCTCCTTCCTTGGAGGTTTCTAAGCAGAGGTTGGATGGCCATCTGTCATTGATGATTTAGCAGTTTCCTACATTGCAGGGGGTTGCACTAGAAAAATGATTCTATGTTTTTCTGCTTCAACAATATTTCATTATGTTTCTATTATTTTATGTAATTGTATTTTGTATAAATTATAAAAATCATAAATAAAAATGTTCTATTTACAAACAAAACATTTAAATAGCTACTTTCTACCGGTAGAACAAGAGGGGGTATGGGTGTAGCCAGGGTTTTTGTTAAGGAGGGCAGGCTTTTGTTGGGGGGGGATAGAACCTCAGATTTGTATTGATTTGTATTGATTATTACTCATGGGGGACAGCTGTCCCCCCGCCCCCCTTGGATATGCCCATGGTGGGGCACAGGAAGGAAACAAGGTTGGAAGGGGGCCACGGTTAGAAAAAGGTTGGGAAATACTGGTCTATGGTGTTTCTGTAGCTAATACCTAAGGAAAAAATGTGTACAACTTAAAAGCATGTGGAATACTGTAAGAATGGCCCAGAGCAGCTAATGCCTCGTAATACTTGTAGTTAGTGTTTACCCACAGTATATAAAGCTCTCCATTTCAAAGCCAGGATGACAAAAAAGAAGCTTAGGGCACCCTTTGTTCACATATTAGTTACACTCTAAGTTTAAGATTCTACAGATATTTTTTGAGTTTTGAATAGAGTAACTTGGGCACAATAATTTTACATCCTTGTAGTCTTTAAGAAAACAACAGCAAACTATTACTCTCCGAATCTTTTGTCTCCGCAGTATGATATTTGAAAACATTGAAGTTAGCATATACTTTTTATAACATGCCAAATAATCAGGCTGTTATTTTATGTGAACTCATAATGTCTCTTGATGGTCTCAGGGAAATAGGTGGTTAAGCGTATATGAAAGTATGGGTCTGTTTGGGGGAATAGATTTTGTACCCTGGAAGATTCACTGATTGATCTCTAAGGTTTCGTGCTATATTTGATTTATGGTTCTCCTCCTATTATTCTAGTATATAGACATACTACTTATTGAGCTTTTGCTTGGTCAGCTGAATTACAGAGGCCCAGGCAGCCAATAGATGTTTTTTTCTACAGGCTCTGAGAAAGAAACAGTGTTTGCCAGGAATCTGTTGAGAAATTTGAGCTGTAGTTCAAATTCAAAATATTTTAAACAAAATTTAGAAGGTGACATACCATATTTATGTTTTTGGTGCTACCTGAAAGTGAAAAGTAAAGCAATATGTATGTTTTTATGCGTTTTTCTCACCTTTGATAGGAGGGAATTCTGGAAGAGTATAGTGAGAAGAATTTCTATGGATCTGAAGAAGAGCAGAAAGAGAAAAATCAGGAAGCAAACAAGCCCTATTCTATGGACCCAGACCACCGATTGCTTATACGAAATACAAAGCCTTTACTACAAAGCCGGAATGCTGCTGTAAGATTAACTTTCTTCATAAATGTCTTTGGGGGTTTTTAAAGCCAGGCTGTGTTTTTTAATTTAGCCATTGAAAATAGGCTGTACTGAGTACAATAGATATCCAAACATAACCACCGTGTAACGTGCAGGCCTACCTTGCCATGTATTCTGGCTTAGTATATTTTAAAGCTGGGGGTGGGGGTGGGGTTAGACCTTGAAGCTAGCTTTTTTTCCTACACTTGTTTTTTCATCTGCTGAGAAAGCTGCTTATAATTCAGAGAAAATAATGTAATACCTGATGTCTTTGAATATGTTCTTTTGCTTCAAGGAATGTAAGAAATTAAAAATTTCTGTATGCAAATACATTTATACTATGTGAAAGAAAAGCGTAATTACCAGATGAAAGGAGGTGACTTGTTGTCATTTTTTCAGGTGGTGATGGCAATTGCACAACTTTATTGGCATGTAGCACCCAAATCTGAAGCTGGGATTGTTGCTAAATCATTAGTACGTTTACTTCGTAGTAACAGGTAAATCAAGCATACATTTCTGCTGATTTTCCCAACAGTGGTTGGTAAAAAGTTATGAAAGGGTAAACTGGTTTTCACTTGTATAACAGTAATTTAGGTATTCATTATTCATACATGGATTTGATCAATATTTACAAAATCTGAAACATGTTAATAGTATTTAATGAGCTCAATTTTATAAAGCTCACTAGAAAAGAAGTATAGTGTACATTCATAAGGTATAAATTTGGTTCAAAATCAAGATCTGGCACAAGCATACAATGGAAGTAGGTTTTAAAGATTAAGTTTCAGGATTTATGCATTCCCTCTCCTGCCACCATTCTCTCATGTTAGTTCCCTACATACACCTATCCTGGCTTTTTAAAATGAAATGAAACCAGGTATGCTTCTGTAAATTTACTTTGACTATATGGGTTTAATCAAGGTTCCCAAAGGAGTGTACCAGATTTCATTTCCATCAACGTTGGCAGTGTTTGCAATAACTCTGAACCCATTTAGTACTTTAAACAAAGAACTTGGATATTTCATTATATAACATATCTTCAAAATCATTTTGAAGAGCATTCTAAGAATTTAAATAACCTTTACTTTTGAATCTAGCTCTTTAAAAATGTTTCTAATAGAGCAGTGTTTGAGAGTTATGCATATTAATTATCTAACGTTGACTTTTAGGGAAGTACAGTACATTGTTCTCCAGAATATAGCAACGATGTCAATCCAACACAAGGTTTGACGTTTTGAATACATAACTTCAAAATTGCTACATTTTAACCTCAGTATAATTACTACATATTGTTAATTTGTGTTTTCCCTCCCCAGGGCATGTTTGTGCCTTATTTGAAGAGTTTCTATGTTAGGTCAACTGATCCAACTATGATCAAGACATTAAAGGTATGGTTTTATATTTTATATTTACCGTATTTTTCGCCCTATAGGACGCACTTTTTCCCCTCCAAAAATGAAGGGGAAATGTGTGTGCGTCCTATGGGGCGAATGCAGGCTTTCGCTGAAGCCTGGAGAGCGAGAGGGGTCGGTGCGCACCGACCCCTCTCGCTCTCCAGGCTTCAGGAAGCTCTGCGCAACCCTCGGGAGACCGGCGCGACTTCGCGCCGGTCTCCCGAGGGTTGCGCAGAGCTGCCTGCAGTCCCGGGCTTCACGCAGCTCTGCACAACCCTAGGGAGCCCGGAGCGAAGTTGCGCCGGTCTCCCTAGGGTTGCGCAGAGCTGCCTGCATTTCCGGGCTTCGCGGGGGAAATAATTCCCCCCCCCCATTATTTCCCCCCCAAAAAAACAAGGTGTGCCCTATGGGGTGAAAAATACGGTATATTAAATACACTAATTATTCTTAATAGGATGAATATATTTGTTCCTCAGCATTGACCTTAAGATAACAGTTTTGTAATACTAAAACAAAAAGAGCAAAATTCCAACTCATCTCATTAGGAAATTTTATCTTGAGCAATATTATGAGGAATATACCACATATACTCGAGTATAAGCCGACCCGAATATAAGCCTGAGGCACCTAATTTTACCACAAAAAGCTGGGAAAACTTATTGACTCTAGTATAAGCCAGTTCACCACTCCACAAACCTGGTGGTGGCTGCAGCGGCGGAGGAATCCGGCTGCTCGCTCCTCCTCCGACAGCGGCAAAGGCGGCGGCGGAGGAAGGAGCAGCCCGAAAGGACCCTCACTCGAGTATAAGCTGAGGGGGGCTTTTAGGGGGCTTTTTCAGCATTAAAAATGTGCTGAAAAAGTCGACTTATACTCAAGTATATACGGTACTCTGTGTTGTGAACAATTTAAATTGTGGATAGCATACTCTTGCACATGTTTAATTAGCAGGAAAACTTGTGTTGAACAAGGCTTGCTTTCTAGTAAGTATAAAATCGCTTGCTGAGTCTTTAAAAGGAAGACATTTTTTGAATGCAGAACCTCAGTGCAATTTGTAGTAAGCAATAAGTAAAAGATCTGCATTTAATTAATCTCTGCTAATGTCAAAGAGGACAGAAACGTAAGTTGTTACATGTAATTTGTTTAAATAATCTACTGCAGGCTTCCTCAACCTCGGCCCTTCAGATGTTTTGAGACTACAATTCCCATCATCCCTGACCACTGGTCCTGCTAGCTAGGGATCATGGGAGTTGTAGGCCAAAAACATCTGGCGGAAGCAGACCTGGCGGAAGTTGAGGAAGCCTGATCTCCTGTATAGGAAGCAAAGAATGATGTAGCAGGGGAAAAGAGAACAACTTTCTTCTGTAATTAGTTATTAGAAAGATTGGGATTTGTGTATATTTGTGTATATTTTATATATATACACCACTAGAAATGCAGATGTGAAATTGTGAATTGAGTACAGAATATAATGACTAAAATGTTTTGAGTCTAAAGTCTCTCAACTTCAGAGTGACCTTGACTCTTCAGTTCCAAGTCAGGTACCCAGTGCCACAACTGATGATGCATTGTGGAATAGGTTTCAGCTTATGCAGCCAGATGAGGTTGACAGGGTGCTTGTGGCTATTCACAGGGTGCTTGTGGCTATTCACCCAACCATAGACCCTATTGATTCCTGTCCCTTTTGGCTTATTAGATCTCACAAAGGGTGTTTGACTGTTTGGGTCCAGAATGTAATTAACACTTCATAACGTGAAGGGGTGGCCCCTGTTGCCTTGAGAAAACCACTCGTAAAGAAGTTGGTGTGGAACCAATTGCAAAGATCTGCTTCCTAGGGAAGGCAGTGGAAAAGGTCACCTATCTAGACCTTTTTGAATCTGGTTTGAATTGGTCTTTGCTGAGAGTGGGACAAGGGGCATATGACCCTGCTTCTGCTTCTTTACCTTTCTGCTTCTTTACCTTTCATTACCATTCATTGTGGTGTCCTCCTGGACTGGCTCCAAGGAATGGAAATTGGGGGTACAGTGGTACCTTGGGGTAAGAACTTAATTCGTTCCGGAGGTCCGTTCTTAACCTGAAACGGTTTCTTAACCTGAGGTCTGCTTTCGCTAATGGGGCCTTCTGCCACTGCACCGCTGGCGTGCGATTTCCGTTCTTATCTTGGGGCAAAGTTCTTAACCTGGAGCAACCACTTCCTGGTTAGTGGAGTTTGTAACCCAAAGCGTCTGTACCCGAGGTACCACTGTACTGTGTTACAGTAGTTCTGGTTCATGGCTGAGTTCACAGATAGCATTGTCAGCCCTCTGGCAAATACTCTATGGGATGCCTTGGGGCACCATTTTATCCCCAATGTTATTTAATAGCTACATGAAACTTCTGGGAGTGGTCATGGGGAGATTTGGGGCAAGATGTCATTTATATGCTGATGATACTTAGCTCTATTTCTCCCTAACATCTGAATTGGGAGAGGCAGTGCAGACCATGAACTAGCGCTTGGATGCAGTGGTGAGATGGATGAGGGAACATACCTGAATCTTGCCAAGATGGAGGCACTATGGGTCAGGTGATTCCAGTGTCTGAGGAAAAGTCCCAACGCCGCAGCAGCTTAAAACTGGACAGTGGGACAGAGACGTACTCAGGTGTAGGGCAAGTGAGTGTGGCTTGCCCACAACAGCCTTTCAGGCCATATCGGGAAGTATGGCAGGCCTAATTAGGCCAACAGACAGGAGGTTCCCAACTCCTGAAGCGTTATATAATACTGGCATAGTGTTTATTTTTCTAGCTCCTTTTTCCAACTTCAGAAAAGGCCTCTCTTCTACACCTGGATAGAAGCTTCAGAACATTGCCTTAGGCATGGGCCATGTTAGGAGTTCTTGCAATCCCAGATGGATCATATGAGCTACCACACA